TCCGAGTCACTGCACCACATTGGTGACAAAGGTCCCTGAGAACTTTCCTGATCCCCACATTGTTTACCTTTATGCTAATCCTGTCACATCCTGGTCTCGCAGAGGGATCGGCCCTAACCTTGGTGACCTTTCGCCTCAGTTCCCTGATACAGAAAAGCTCGCCTTTCATCGCGAGCGTCTGTTTGGATGGGGAACAGCCATCATTGACAAGTTTTACAGCCATGTCTGGCCCGGCTACTGCATCCGCACCTTTTCGCAGGTACGTAGCAGTAGCTATGAGTATAAAATGTTTCTGAACCTCATCTCAATAGCTTCATAATTTCTCAGGCGAGAAGTCAGTGCTTTCACCATCATCTATCCGCCACGTTTGTAAACAGGACACAAAATTCAAGTCAGAATCAGCTTTCGAGTCCTACCTTGTCGAAGTATGGTTGCTGCCACTACCTATCACTGCCCTGAGCGGTGCCAGGCAAGCGCTTGAAGACGAAAATGCCTTGGTGAAAGGAGGCTCGATTATCAGCATCAATGTTTGGGTACTGGGGCCGATCCTTCACAGCGCAGTTCCAGCCATCGTTGACAAATTTCTACATGAGGCACCCCCAAGAAACAAGAAAGCCAACATTCACACTGCTCCATACAAACCGGTATATGCTGATTCTCTCTTTTATGGCCCCTCCCCATTTGTCTTCTTTTTGCAGATATTGCCGAGTAGTATCAATGTACAGCCAGTCATGGAAATAGGAAGTACCTCTAGTACCACGGCGCAAAGTAATGACCAAGCACAAGCTTCAACCAGCCACTCGGCTGCAAGACAACCACACGAAATCATCGAGATTGACTCTGCCGACGAAGACAATGAAGATTACAACTATTATCGCCACAGCCGCTCAAACGGAAGAGGTTCAACAACTACCTTTCTCGCCTTACCCACTTCACCCATAGAGCTCACTGATGCTGATGAGAGCGATGCTATGAGCATCAGTTGCTCTGACGAAGGTGTGTATACCTTCCACTCGGAACCTATCTCATTCACAGCTCACCTCTTTTTCATAGAGCTGATTCTTCCCCCTGGTGTTGCGGGGACTCATGTCGATCTCACTCTTTCAAGCGGGGAGGAGTAAAAAAGGGTTAGACAGATCTACTTGTACCTACTTCGGCTCTCCATTATCTGTTCCTGTTTGTACTATAAACCGATCATTAAATGAGATCAATAAATATTAATGAAGTCCGTGTTTCAGAGGAATTGGCCTTGACAAAGCTACCATGCCAGCTCCCTCAAATCCAGCAAAGGCTCGCAAGGGCAAGAGTAGCAAGAGGGCACCCAAATCAAAGACGAAGACTCCACTTTCCGCCAATGACTATGCTTGTCTCCAAAAGGCGTCCGTTGAGAAGAAGAAGCAGTATGGGAAATCAGAGAACACGAATAACAATTATGGTGGACAGGTCAAGCGGGGGCAGGAGTTTGTGGCCCGATTTTCGGTAGAGCAAGCAGAAGCAGAAAAGCGGTGGCAGGAAGATGGGGACGAAGTATTGTCGGGTGATGATGATGAGGATGAAATACAAGACGACGGACCAGCCAAGTTGGATCCCGACTTCCACAAGGCCTTCGACGGCCCCCCCATTGAATGCACGCCGCTTGCAATCTCCATGTTTATGACGCACAAGTGCTTCACAGAGAATAGAAAGGCATCCACGGCCATCTCAATTCACACTGCGTTTACACGGTACTATGACCAAATGTATGTCTCCCATCGAGAATGTGATAGCCACATACTTACGATGATGAAGGGCCAACGACATGTATCGAGGATGTTGGCACTTCAATGATGCCCGCCAAAGATGGGAGGGTAATCCTACTCGCTCGGCAGAGGTCGAGGACATGCTCGATGCCTGCAAAAACAAGGATGGCGAGGGCGAGCGGAATCATTCCCGAGCGATGTCACTTGCAGATATGCAAGCTTTGTTCGCACATTCACAAAAAACCTGTCCTTCCAACCTTGAGATCACAGACCAGCAGACACTTGCATTGAAAGCTAGCCATTTGTTCAATCTGGCGTTCGCAAGTTTTAGCTGGTTGATCTGGACTCGGTAAGCTCAAGATCTTTGCCAAGTCAAAAGAAACCTCACATGAAGCCAGGGTGAACGAGGCAGCTGGTCTTCAGGCTAAACATGTTGATTTTGCGCCGCCGCCAAGGCCAGGCAAACCTCATCTACCATACGTCAAGTTCAATCTACGAAACCGTAAGAATTGGCAGAAGAAATCAAAGAACGGAGAGAATGGACTCAACAGTTTGTGCGAAATGTCTTGTTGAATTATGGGATGCTCAATCTTCCCACACAGGGCATACCTACAATGTCTACCCACAGCCCAACAACCCCGCCATTGACCTATACACACACATTTGGAAATGGAAGGAATTTTACGAGACTCGGCTTCTTGGAAGGAAGCTACAGCCAGATGAGTTCATTTTTCCGTCCTTTGGTGTGAACGGGCTGGTTGCACACCCACATGTACCCATTACATCCGACCTTATTCAAAAGAGGATTAACGAGTGGACTGCGGCAGCAGGAATCAGGGGCGCAGGACACTTCACAACCCACTGCTTCCGCCGCGGAGGTGCACAATACCGCTTTATGTTCGCGCTGATTGGGCAGCGTTGGACGCTGGCTCGAATTCGTTGGTGGGGAGGGTGGGCGATTGGCGAACACGTATGTATCAGCTCTGCACTTCTACAGAAGGCTAATGTTTGTGGATCTAGCGTGATACATTAATACGATACCTGCTCGATGAATTATATACGTACGAAGAGGATCATAGTGATGCTCTCTGTCCTGTTGACTATGAAGTCAACATGTCCCACATGGGCGAGAGTGGGGAAACGTGACCTCTAACAGCTGCAGAAGGACTCAAGCTATTCTCTGTGCAGTTCGCAGAGCAGCGCAGGATGTGGGAAGAGATGCGAACATTGATTAGCGAGCGGCCACAGGTTATGCCTGTAACACAGTCTATGCCCGCGCCACTGCCCGCACCCACGTCCTGGGGAGGTTTCACCAATCATGGCAGTCAGCCCTGCAGCTATGTATCACACAGTATCTACCCTACAGTTGGAAGTGGCCATGGGGCTGTAGTTCCACTCCAGGGCTCCTTGCTGATGAATGCCATGACAAATGGCTCGGGCAGTCCTGTTCCTGTTGAGCCATCTGTGGTCGTGCCAGAAATCAGCCGCAAGATGGGAGCAACTGCCTGGAAGCAGGTCGTACATGACTGGGAGCATCCCGACCCTGGTCGCAACCACCACACAGCTCTCGAGCACTGGAAACAGGAGTGGCATGCTTCCAGTCGCCAAAGCCAGTTATGTGGTCAACGGCGCACGATCGCACTGGAGTTCATTGAAGAATGAGCCATTTTTGCAGAATACCAAGGTCAACACTCACTACTTGCTTCCAGATTTGGGCGAGATGAAACCTCATTCCTTCAGGCTTACCCAGAACATAAGGATGGCATCACGGCTCTCTTGCACGCGATCCGGGTCAAAGGGCAGGCGGAAGGCAAAATTCTCAGCCGCAACCGCCGCAAGAGTACTGCAAAGTAGATAGGTCAGCCATCAAGCAGCTCGAGGAATGAAAAAAAGAATCTAGCTACCATTTTCAACAACACAACTACTATAGTTACGCGTAATACTTTTTAATGCGAAAAGTAAACTAAGAAATCACAAAGTGTCGTCTTCGCATATTTGCTTCAATCTGAGAATAGGCTGAAGTTATTGAACACCGAATGAACAAGAGATTGAAAATCAACCGACCTATCAGGATGAAATTGGTGGACTCGTTGTTGCGAAGTCATGGGTGCGACAATTGGGTCGAAGCGTTAGGAAACGGTTGCAAAGTGGGCAACGGTGGTGGAGAAAGTGTGGTCTATGGCATGTCTGCCAGAGGACATGCCGCCAAAAAACATGCTGCCAGAGGCAATCTCGCCTGTAATCAACGGGTACGCGAGTGAAGGTGCATGTGAACCCTTCACCAGCGATTGAAAATCAGGAAGTTGAAGAGGATCAACAGAAGATCTACTCACCACATATATGAAATTCGCTGCAGAGATCAATCGAGGAAGCTGAAGTGAGGAGCCATTGCGGCAGTCAAGCGAGCTTGGAGGGAGGAGCTGTTGCAGCTGCCAAGTGATCGCACGATCTGAGGTGAATTGATGTCTTCGAAAACCCAGTTGAAGCCTGTCAGAGTCTGCTGGGAAGTCGACAGCGACTCGCTCGCTGGCACTCGGATAAACCAAAGTGTCAGACGAGTTGAGCAGGATGCAGTCCAGCAAACTTCGCAAGTGAACTCGCGGATTGCAGACTGGTCCTCCTACCAGAGGACTGGGGGGTGCTGAGACGACGCCAATAAGACGCAACAGACCAGATACGGGTGAGGGGGGTGCACATGGGCCTAGGAGAAGTCGGAGGCCAAAGGGACGAGCGACAAAAGCGCACGCGAAATCTTCAAAACGGAGTGGAAGTGAGAAAGTTGGAAAAGGATCCAAAGAAGATCCACTCACCTCTATATGAAACAGACAGTGCAGAGAAAGGTCAAGGGGATGCCCGCCAAACAAGAGAAGGATGGCCGAAATCGTGAAGAAAGGCACCTCGAGGCAGATGCAGGTGATAACAGCATGTAAGCCATAGACACAACAGAGGCAGAGTGTTTCCCCCAGGCGGTGAGGACGCAGAAAACGAGGGGAACGCGGGCGAAGCGACACCCACATCAACGGCGGAGACTGAGACGCAGAGAGTGTTGAGGGAAGGGGCGAGGGAAGGAAAGAACAAGGGGACGCATCTTCTTTGGGCGCACAAAAGGCGAGGGCAGGGAAGCACGCGTGCACGTTGATAAGATGTGATAGATGTGATGGCATCAAAAGGGTCCAGAAGGGTCCGAGGCACAATCCCTGAAAAGTCTCAGGGATCTCCTGGATCGCTCCCACGAACCCCTTTCGGGACGAATCCTCTTAAATTCAACGACATAAGTAGTGGTGAGAAGAGCTGAAATTTCACGCGATTGTCACGAGATCAGAGATATTTTTTGGACATGTAGATGTGTTTGGCATTCAACATTCAATAACCATGTAGCAGACTGCAAAGCCTGCTACAGGTATTGTAAAGTTTTGGCTCAATCTATAGCTAATGTCCAATGTAGTATGTAGTGCTTGAAAGTCCAGTCCAGTCCGGTTTTTTGGCCCAAAACAAAAAGACCAAGACCAAGACTGGTCTACATACTTATGCCCAGTGAAAATCAACTCCAATGAGGCTGAGTCACAGTGACTATGGTTGATTTGTGTGGCTTGATGTGGCATCAATTGAGTTAGTTATATTTCAGGTGATTTGGAAGGCTGACCCACACACTGTGTACATGTATTTAATGTACCCTTACATAGTGTAATATTGATTTGGATTGAACTGA